GCTGTTTGTTTCTTTCTTTTTCTACATCTTCAAACTTGGCTTTAGATTTAAGAGTGAGACATATAAAATAACAAACGCATAGCCGCTTGTTTCTTTCTTTTTCTACATCTTCAAACTTAGTGTTAGATTTTAGAGTGAGACGAATAAAAAAAACCCACATAGCTGCTTGTTTCTTTCTTTTTCTACATCTTCAAACTTGGCGTTAGATTTTAGAGTGAGACACATAAAAAAAACACATAGCTGCTTGTTTCTTTCTTTTTCTACATCTTCAAACTTGGCGTTAGATTTTAGAGTGAGACATAAAAAAACCCAACATAGCTGCTTCTTTCTTTCTTTTTCTACATCTTCAAATTAGTGTTAGATTTTAGAGTGAGACACATAAAAAAAACACATAGCTGCTTCTTTCTTTCTTTTTCTACATCTTCAAACTTGGTGTTAGATTTTAGAATGAGACAAATAAAAAACCCCACATAGCTGCTTGTTTCTTTCTTTTTCTACATCTTCAAACTTGGTGTTAGATTTTAGAATGAGACAAATAAAAAAACCCACATAGCTGCTTGTTTCTTTCTTTTTCTACATCTTCAAACTTGGTGTTAGATTTTAGAGTGAGACGAATAAAAAAAACCCACATAGCTGCTTGTTTCTTTCTTTTTGTACGTCTTCAACCCCCCCCCCACTCACCAGGTAGTTCCCCTCCCAGGCCCTCTGCAGGCCCAGGTCGCCCCTCTGGCCCTTCAGGGCCTCCAGGCAGGCGACCTTTGACCTCACCTGCACGGCCTCCTCCGGGGAGAGGCCTTTGATGAGAGTCCAGGCCCACCACCTGAGGACGGCATGCACACACACAGCTGAGCACCCGCTCACTCACACAATCTGACAGCCAACATCACTCTTTATCTTCCAACTGCTCCCGGCTCCGGGGGCGGAAAGAAAGGAGCGAACAGACAATAAGATGAAAGGCGGTGATGAGCCTTTGATGGAGGGAGGGAGAAATCGATGCCCAGTTTGAGCCTCGGGCTGGAGGAAACATGTGTAAGACGCTTCAAACGGACTCATCTGGGTGTAAAACAAACCTGGCGGGCCTGGCTTTGCTTTCGGTTCAGCTATTTTGAGACGCCGGCCCTTTAAGAAGGTTCCCCCCCCCCGCCTCCACTGCCAGATAACTTTCCTAACAAAGATCTTCTACATTTATTGTTACACTGCGCTCGAAAGTGTATTATGGTGTTGTGGATTTCTGATAAGAGTTCCATCTATAAACCAGTG